ATATTCTCAATGAAATCAAATAACCAAAATCCCTTGAAAATTTCAAGGGTATTTTGGTCATATTATATTTTATCAAAAATATATTTTTAATATTTTTTTTAAGTGCGTCCCATTGAGATGATAGCGCATTCCAAATTTCATATTCACATAATTTATAGAGAATAAATTAAAAAATAAAATACTTTGAAGTGTTAGATCTAAGAGCAAATGATCAATGGCTCACTTAATCTAAATTAGCCGCTTAATCTAAGTTGAACGGCAGAATTGCGGGAAAGTATATATCTTCTATTCAATAGGGGTAAGTATAGAAACCTTTCATTTAAACCTGCTGACCCAATCCTTATAAGATTCATTCAAGAGTTTTATATATTTGTACAAAGATAGAAAATACGGCATCAATGGACATTAAAGTCACTCTTTCCTAGGTCCAGTCCTCTGCTCATTCAAATTGTTTTCAGACAAGTCATCAAACCTTCAATAAACCATCTTACTATCATGTAGAATCTACCTACATAAAACCTTAGTGGCAATTATTGCAGAGTTTCTATGGAGATAATATATGCGATATAATCGGTAAATTAAATTTATCCCCATAAAGGATGGATTGATGTTATTAATGAGATTTCACTTTCAAATTAAAAAAATGGAAATTGTCATAATCCTCAGAGCATTGTTCTGACAATTTGGGGTTGTCTAAATTAAAACAACGTAAATAACTTCATCACATTTTGTATTTCATTTTCAAGTTGATGATCAAAATGAGACGACGTCCTAAGCCATAACTAAATTCTTTCTCTTACGGCGTGTTTGATAACAGGAAGTTAGAAGAGGAAGAAGGAACTTCCTCGTTACTGTACAAGTTTTGTGTTTAATACATAAAACTTAAACAGCAAAGAAGTTCTATTGAGAACTTCCTTATTCCCTTGTACTTAAAAAAAAAAAGTTCCATCTAAAAGGATGGAACTTAAAATAGAAATTTGGTTCCCCAAACTCTCTTCTGCCTTCCACTTTATATTTTTATTTGTATTGTTAACTTGTATCTACATTTGTATTATATTATATTATATAATAGATTATATTATATTATATAATAGTTTATATATTCTTTATTATATAATATAGTTTATTTATACAATAAATATTTATAATATTATATAATAAAAAAATATAATTTACCATATAATATATCTTATATAATACAAATATATATCAATATAAAAAATATAAAATACACTATATTATATATTACATTACGTTACATATGATACACACACACACACATATATAGATATATTATTGTATAATATATAATAAAATATATTATATATTACATTTTATTATATATATATATATATTTATAATATTATATAATAAAAATATATATATTAGTAGAATAAATATAAAAAACAGTATATTATATAGAGAAAAGTATACTAATATCTATTATAATATCCGTTATTACAGATCCACCTTTTAGTTTTCGTTACTGCTTGGATATCTGTTTTTTACGTTTCATAATACAATTTTCGCTTGATCAACAACCGAAAATAGGACTAGCTGGTTTTCAATTCCCGTTTTCACTCCCCGCTATGGTTTCGATTGTTCAACAACCAAAATTAGAGTTATCAAGTGTTGAACATCCAAAAATCTAATTTCGGTTGTTGAATAACTGAGAATAAATCAAATCAATTGTTGAACAACCAAAAATGACACATTCTCATTTTTGGTTATTGAAGAACCGAAAATCATAAGAAAGAGAGAATGGATATACATAGGAGAGAAATGCTGAGGTCTGTCCTATAATTCAACCAACTAAACTTTCAATTGAACAACCGAAAATGGCTTATTCTCATTTTTTATTGTTGAAGAATCGAAAATCATAGGAAAGAGACTAGATATACATAGGAGAGAGATGCTGAGGTCTATCCCATAATTCAACTAACCAAACTTTCCGCTTTAACCTTCATATTCTCCGATAGTTCATATTCCCTATCTAAGGTATATAGAAAGAATGAATAAATATAGGAGAGAGAATGGATAAACATAGATTAGAGTTTAAAGGGTAGAGAAGAGTTTAAACCCACCATATATTTATCTATTCTCTCTCTTATGTTTATTCATTTATGTACCTTATATATTATCTCTCCTATGTTTATCTATTCTATTTCTATACGTTAGAGTTAAAACTCTTTCCTTAGTTTATCTATTCTAGAGCATTTTGGTTGTTCAACAACTGAAACTCTATTGAATTACGTTGTTCAACAACCGAAAAAGAGAAACAAGGGAAACAAGGAAAAAAAAAAATTTAGGTTATTGAAAAACTGAAAATTTAAAATTTTCGGTTCCTCAACCTCCAAAAATTTTGAATTTTTGGTTTTTCAAAAACCAAAATTGGCTTGATCAACAACCGAAATTCCATTGAATTCGGTTGTTCAACAACCGAAAAAGGGTAAAAATATATTTTTTAAAATTTTCATTATGACAATAAAAAAACGGACAGATAGGTAATAACGGAAACTATTCGGTAGTTTCATAATAGCTTAAATTATAATAGATATGTACATAATTTTCTCTATTATATATTATATTATGTTATATATTATGTAATATATATGTTTATATATT